GGGGGAATAGGCTATGGAACGCAAAACTTCTATAGAAAATGTATCTTAATAAAAGAAAAATAGCAAATGAACATCGGCATTTAAAATTACTTTTCTTTCCTTTGAATTATATCGTTTTATCATAAATTTTGCTTAAACGATCAGAAAAAATGTGAAAACCATATGGTTATGCAGTATTTTCCAGTTATTCCACTCGGACATATTTTATCATAGGCATGTGTTCATTGATATAATACTGCCAACACCTCCAAAAACCGAAATTTCTTGAACAGCCGCTTAATTCATAAATTCATTACACGATAGTCTATTCATTTTTATGAGAGTTTACAAATGATCAGGTACCAGTAAACATGATCCATTTGATAGAGGAGGCAATTAAATAAACAATTCTTTCTAAAAATAATTCCCTGCTACCAGGGGTAGAGAAAGAAATTTCCTTAGAGACGGGCAAAATTATACAATTTAACTTCTCGTATGCATTAATCTTTTCAAATTTGAAAATTTAGGGGGAAAAATAGAGTGAACATCAAATTGTTAATGTTTTTTTTTTTTTTTTTAAATAATTTTCAAGGAACTACCCTCCTTCCTTCTCTGCGCCACCCTTGCCTGCTAAGAATTGCCTAATAAATACATATTTTGCTGGTCATGAGGGTCTCAAGTTATGTCAATTCACTAGGAATATTTTCTCGTATTGGTCATATAAAATTGTGTTACAGGAAAATACATGTCCATGCAACTAGCAATCTACAGGATACAAGCGTCACGTCTTGGAACAAGATCTTGTCCAAATCATAAAATCCAGGAAGGCAGCAGTTTATAAATCGCATAATACCGCGAAAACTGTCGTCAACAATCTCCCGTAAACGCACATGAAAATCCATGCCAGAAATCAAGAAATCAAGGCAAAAAACAACAACAAAAACAAAATTAACACCAAGTTTTTACCGAATTAGAAGAGATGAATCCCGGAACTTATCCGTGATCTCGTTGCAGAAACGATTTAGGAGACTGAAGAACGAGAGAGAAGAAAATTGAAACAGAGGTTGAGGAGTTCTTCGACAGGGAATCGTAAGCGAAGAAGAAAATTAATTGTGAGGGAATCGGAGGCTGTTTCAATTTCATCCAAATATTCTTGGTGAGGGACTTGTTGGCTTCCTTTTTTTCTTTTTTGTTTTTCCTACCGATGCGGTGACAGTGAGATCCACTTTTCCATCCAATATGGGCTGGGCCTGGCTTCTGATACATATTTGGGCCGATTTATAACGGCTTTCGTTAAGAGCCCATCTTATGAATTATATATTTATATTAAAAGGGATAAATATTAAAATATATTTAGATATATGTGTATTTTTTTACTTTTGATCTTGATCATTAGAGTAATTCATTTCAAAACTTGCTTTTGGAGAGGATGGACTCGGAGGTTAGGCTCAATAGAATAGACCACACTCGCCCTAATGGGTTAGGCCTAGCTTCACTCACTTAGGTTGGACCAAAGATATCGAGCTAGAACAGAAGAAAATAATTTTTTTTAACTAATCTTAATTAATGAATTAGTAAAATTAAGAAGGCAATTAAAAAATGACTGTATTTTGACAATAAAAGATTGAAACGCGGCAATCCTACCTATCTTGGGCTAGAGGGTTTGGCTTTTGGATGGGCGGAAGCGCTGGCGGTGATGAATCTACTAGGAATCTCACTTGTTTTTGTTCGACTTAATTAAGGTAAATTAAATCTTACCATTAAAATAAATAAATAAATAAGGAAAAGATATTTGTATTTTTATAGGCCACCGCACAGAAGTGGCAGGCACAGCTACCCGGCAGCCCATCTTTCTTCCTTTGGATTGTCCATTTAATTTATTTTTATTAATTTAGCTATCAAATTAATTATTTTAAGAGAGGATGGGTCGTAAAATATATATTTTCAATTAAAAGATTACTAGAGTATGGTAATAAATGTCGCTCTAGATTGAAAAGGTCCAAAAATTTTAGTTTTATAGGCGGAGGAAAGTGATGAACGTGTAGGGGTAGATGTGTAATAATCATAAAGATCCAATACTAAGATAGGGAGAATTAAGTATTTTGATGTTGAAACAAGTGTGCATTAATTACTATACACACCCTCCCCTACGCATGTGATTTACTATTTTGCTCTCCTGCACCCTCCTCCCATGTCTCATTTATTATATACATTCTAAATCTTTCTTTCACGAACTATTCTTAGATGTGGCAATGGGTCTGGACAATATTTACTAGCGGTGGACTTAAGACTTTTACAAATGATATCAAACCCAGTCACCAAACGATGTGAGACACTGGTCGGAGTAAAGCTAGATCCTTTCTATAATAGATGAATTTTAAAAACTGTGAGACTAACGACAATGTGTAACGAGCCAAATCGACAATATTTGCTAGTAGTGGGTTGGGCTATTACCAATGGTGTCATAGTCAGACACTAGGAGGCAGTGTGACAGAGTTGACGCTAGGCCTCCAAATGGATGGATTGTGAGATTTCACATTCGTTGGAGAGAGTGTGGAAAATTTTCGTATATGGCAGGATAATACAAACAATATTTACTATTTTTTATTATTATTTAAAAAAATTTACAGATATATATTAGTAGTTTTTGCAATTTTCTGGGGAGAAAAAAAAAAAAAAAACACAAAATTTGGAAAAAGACTTTAGTAAGTTAGAAAGTTACAAGCCCCGTCGTGCTCTTTTCCCACCATTCACGTTTTCGTCACGTGACTCTCCAATCCCACCATTGGCCACTGACACATGGTCTTAAGCGATTCCCAACCCCCCATGTGAAAGCGACTACTCGTTTCCACGGCGGCGCGTGTTCTTCCCTCGCTCCCCTCGAGCGTTAGCCTACTACTCCTCTGTTCACACTATATGAACCCTCGTTCTTCTTCCTCTGTGTTCAATCTGCGTTCCTCTCAATTGTTATTCAACTCTATCTCTTTCTCTATCTCTGGACCATCATGTAGCAGAGAGGATGGGGAAACGAGCGGCGAAAACTTCGAGATCACAAACATTACCATCATCACCATCGCGCTCTTTCTCTTCGTCTTCATCCTCCGATTTCGAATTCACCGTCTCTGTTTCCCCTCGTCAAGCCTCCTCCGCGCTCTGTCCTGCCGATGAGCTCTTCTACAAAGGTCAGTTGCTTCCTCTCCATCTCTCCCCGCGCCTCTCCATGGTCAGAACGCTCATTCTCGCCTCCTCCAGTACGTCGTCGTCTTCCGACACGAACAGCACCACTGCGTCGCGCGATTCCACCGAAAGCTCTACCGAATCTCACTCCTCGTTCAATAGCGACATCGTGCTTCTTGCGGAGTGCGATTCCTCTAGACCTAGCTCCGTCACGGAGGACGATGAGTTCAGAACGCGATTCGGTACCAATACGGCGAAGAATCACAGCAACAACAACTCCAATCCTAACGTGCAGAATCCGATTAAGAAGAGCAAATACTTCTCGCTATCGAGATTTTCTTCCGTGTTTAGGAAAGAATCGACGAAGAATAATCCGGAGCCTGAAACCGTATCCGGATCGCACGTCAAGAAAATTAGTTCCTCTGCTAAGGAAGTTTTCAGGAAGTATTTGAAGAAAGTGAAGCCGTTATACGGAAAAATTTCGCAGAAGCCGCAACAACAGCAGGAATGGAAGACGAAGACGGATAGATCTGGTAAAGAGGATAAATCATCGGACATGGAGTTTTCAAACAATAACTCCGGGAAGGAAAGCAGATCAGGAGCGCTATCGCATTCATTCTCCGGTAACTTGAGATATCCGAGAAGAAGAAATCTGGCTTCGAGTTGTCCGTCGTCGATTAGATCATCGCCGAGCCACTCCGGTATTCTATCATCTCGAAACGGATTGTCTAGCATGTATCCAACTAGTAGAATCGGAACGACGACGAACTACGTGAACAACAACACATCGTCAATGGAGGAGTTGCAGAGCGCAATTCAAGGAGCAATCGCCCACTGCAAAAACTCCATGGTAGAAAGCAAGAGGAAGACGACGACAACGACGATGATTAGTAAGGAGGTTTGATTAATGAAATAATTAATTAACTTTTTGTTTCCCTAATTAAATGTTAAATGTTAATTAAGTAGCGAAACTTGCTTATGTCTGTACTGTAGTGTCACATCTCCTGCTTGCTTTTAGGAAGAACTCCTGATTTGAAATTCTTGTAATCTTCTTTCTTTTTCCTTTTAATTTCTCGCTTGCTCATGTCATGTTCTGCTGTTTTTATTTGACATTAGAATCTAATCAAGTATTGTGACTGTAGCCTTGGAAACTGTAATCAACTTTTAAGTTTCTTGATTGATTTGAACGTTTTAACTTTAATCCGGTACGATTCTGTTTCTACCTGATTAATAAAACCCAGAGACCCACAGCCTCCAAAACTTGACCCATTGGTGGATCTTGCTTGGTTGCTGTGACCATCCAAATTCCACCGGCTGTCGTGCCACTACCAAAATTAACTTTTCACACGGTCAACGCACTCCATTTTGAATTACCGGTAAAAACATTTTAGTTCCTCGTTTCCATTTATGTTCTGGTTTTGGATGAAAAAAATTAGCATTTTCAGATTTCCTTTCACTTTTAGGTAATGGGAAGTTACTACTTTGTTTTTATTGATTCAAAATATGATTTATTCATAATTTCGTGTAGATAACAAATTCAACTTTTATCTCTACTCGTGTATCAATTTTGTTGGTTTTTGTTTGTCCATCATTAACCTCGCCGATTTTAAACACCTCTTCTAATTAGAGGTTTCCACACTCTTGTAAACAATGTGAAATTTCACTAGTATCCTCGGTGAATGACCGACTGGGATCTCAGTGCCTAGTATCACAACTAAATTTTTTTTTTGATCCATTGATCTTAAAAAACTTGAATCTAAATTCATTTCCACTAAATTGGTAGCTAATATAAAGATTAAAATAATTGTTCTTTTCTTTCCTTTTAAATCAAGACTTAAATGTACTCTTTTGAAATTTTATGAACTAAAATGGAAATATATTGTAGATCTAGGAGAAAATAAACAAATATTTTAGTTGAGTATTTAAGTGAGATTTTATCTTTTTTAAATTATTTAACAAATATATTTGACAAATGATGTAACACATAGCACTTTGCTAAGTTTAGGCATGCACATGATCACCCATGAATTTTATTTATTATTTTATGAGTAATTAAATTCTCTCAAAAGACAAACTTTTCCTTAAACATGGACGAAAAAAATATTTATTTTTCTTTTTAATTTCTATAAAACTAAAAATTGCGCTATTATAAAAAACCAACATTTAGTGGGCATTAAAAAAAAAAAAAAAAAAAAAAAAAA